ACTTGGGGCTTTGTATTCAATTCAGGATTTCCAGGCAATTTGGAGCATTTTGACTTTAATTCATCACCTGTAATTGAAACCTCTATGAGAAAGCAATTCAAGGACTTGAAGTATTAAGACTAATCTGCATTTTTCTTTCTTCTTTAAAATGGAGCGTATCATACATTTTCATAGATAAGGAAAAAATTCTGTTGCCATTACACTTGAAATCCTGCCATCTGCGCCTACATTTATCTTTGAGATCGCCTTAGGACACTTGGTTAAAAAATCTGCAGTCTTTATAACATAATGAGGAAGTTCTTCACAGTCTTTTTAAAAAAATCTTTTTGCACATTCCAGAAACAGCATCAATGCTGCAACTTGAGAAATACTTGAAATAAGACTATTAATTTCCTTGCTTCTGTGGTTAATGACTCCTAAACTTGCTGAATGTTTGGCATCTGAGGCATTGTCCCATAATTCCAAGGTTTGAGAGTGGTGTGGCCTCCAGGGTTGTGGAGTGGCTGTGTTGAAACTTCTGTACACTGTTTAGGAACTGTGGTGCCTTCATCAACTTACGACTCATCTAGTTATGATTCCAGAGGAAACTAAGTTAGCAAAAGACCGTCAAATCCTATGAGAAAACCAAACTACATCAGGAAAGATTATTAGATCCTATTACCTAAGGAACTTCTTATATAGAAACAGCTTAACGTGCATGTCGTAGGTAGAAATAGTCAATTATTTTTAATCACATCATCAGCAAATCATAACTCATGTGTTTTCCTACTGATTTTTTTTTTTTAAGTGAAGCTGCTTTCATGGGTATTACCTTAATGAAAGTCTTGGTTTAGAATAGCAATAATGTGAGCAGTAATGTTTCCCTCCCATTAGATTGTTCTTGGAGCCACAGAAATACCAAGTCGACATATTAAAAAAATAGTAAAGGAAATAGTTTCGTTAGTTCTTTGAGACCTATGTACAGTATTGGTAACTGCCTCTTTGGCAGTGGAGACATTGTCAACAGAAAAGGACCTTTGGTTTTTCCACATTATTAACTTCTTGCTATTAACATCTTACTGAGCACTGGGTATGTGCTTAGCTTGAGACTCATGCCCCATCCAGATTGAATGAATGGGCCAGTTGATGCTCTCCTTCCCGCGGCTTGATGCCTGCCTGCTCTGCTTTATAGTCATCTCCAGTTTCTATCTAGGTCATGTTTACCTTAACCCAGCTTGAACCATGATCACTACTTTTATTAAAATTAGATTTTTCTCTGTAGAATGTTGAAACCCAAAATAGTACAGACTTAAACAAGAGATAAGTGTTGGTTGTTGCTGGTTGGTTGGTTTGGTTGTTTTTATGGCATTGTTTTGGACTTTGCCATGTATTATTTGAAAATTTAAATGAATTGGCTAGCACAGTGACCTGCCTTGCTGCCTACTGAGATGTCTCATGTTAGCCTAGGAAACAAGCTCCCCCCTGGGTCTTTGGAAGCGGTGTGATGATAACTGGGCAAGATTTCTCAAAGTGCCCTTCATGGGCGTCAGAGCAACTGTTATAAAATGCAGATCCCTGTGCCTCATGCCCGGAGATACGGTTTGACAGATCTAGGATAAGGTCCAGAAATTTTCATGTGCCACAAACTCCCCTGGATAATTTGAGAACAACCGATGAGAAAAGAAGGAAGGTAGGAAAGAAAGGGAAGGAGAGAAAGAGACCAATTAACAATTTCCCTGTCTTTTAACAAATTCTGGTAAAGTAGCAGCAAGGGCTCTATTTCCAGTCCTGGCTCCTGAACTCACAGTGGGGCCTGTTGCTTCTAGGAATTAAGAAGCTTCCCAGAATTAATGTTCAACTAAGGAAAGGGCTTAGTTCCCCCCTCCCCCAAACAGGAAGCCTGGAGACAGACCACGGAGCACTGGAGTGGAGGATTCCTAACTCATCAGCAGCCAGGGCCCCTTTTTCTTATGGTCCTAGGTGGCTGCTACACTTTCATTCAGAGGACACATGAATTCTTGCTCCCAGTGGCAGGATGCAGAAGGGAGGAAGCTGAAGTCAAGGCCCCCTCCATTCTAAGGATTCTAACCAGCCGTAGCACAAGAAGATTCTATGTACACCTCCTTGACCAGAACTTAGTCTGTGACAAGGTATCTGAGATATGGAGTTTTACCTGGACAGTTTTGTGTACAGGTAAAATGCTCAGTAAAATAAATAAATAAATAAATAAATAAATACATAAAACCCAGCAGAAATAACAAACAACCCCCCTGCAGGATTCTTTTACTAAAATGAAAGCCTACCATGAGACCATTAATGATCTCTGCTGCAATCTTGCTTCCTAAAGCTACCTAAGGAAACACCCAAGATTTCCTTAACTCTTTTTTTTTTTTTTTCTTGGTTCCTTTAATTCTTGAAGAGTCATTTTGCCACTTTTAAAAACCAACTGTCCTCAACATCTTATTTACTTATGCCTTCTCCTATTTCCGTTCCCTGGAAGTGGTACAAAATCTCCTAATATTATAGGCAGATCCACTGCCTATAACTGCCATTAGATTTTATTGGTCAACCCCAATTGGATCGCTACATTTAAAATTGTGAACTGTCAGCTGTTTTTTTTCACCATTTTAATTTTTATTTTCTTCCTTTTTTAAATTTATATATGACAGCAGGATACATTATAATTCTTACTACATATGTAGAGCACAGTTTTTCATATCTCTGGTTATATACATAATATATTCAGACTAGTTCTTGTCTTCATACTTGTACTTTGGATAATAATGATCATCACATTCCACCATCATTAATTACTCCATGCCCCCTCCATTCCCCCCCAACCCCTCTGCCCTTTCTAGAGTTTGTCTATTCCTCCCCATGCTCCCTCTTTCTATCCCACTATGAATCAGCCTCCTTATATCAAAGAAAAAAAATTGGCATTTGGTTTTTTGGGATTGGCTGATTTCACTTTGTTTTCAGGTAGTTGTTTTAAAATACTCCACATTCCACTCTAATTCCATATTTTCCCCTCTTATTTTATGTTTACTTCCTTATAAATTAATGAGCTTCATGTGCCTCTCTGCTGTGTCTACATGTATGTCAGTCCCAGCCCCTTTCCTAGCATGAACGCCTGGTGTGGGGACTCCATGTCTCCGCACTGCCCTGTGGAGTGGTTTCAGATCAAGAGGGCTTTGTGCTCTGTAAATTTGTCTTTGAAGGAATAAGTGGATAATTACCTGTCTCTCTTCCTTCCCCCTATTTAGAATATAGGAATGCTTTTATATTTTTAGTTTAGGAAGAGGTGTCTGTCCTTTCTTCTTACTTTCCCGAGTGTACACTAACTCTGCAGTCTCTATGATCTTGAGTTTCCCTCTGTAGATTTGCAGGTTTTTCTTTGAGATTTCTGCCCCTTTTATTGTCCTCTTCTCATTGTTGGGTCCCCTCGACTTTCCTGCTGCATTCTGTGTTCTTGAAGGCACGTTCTTGGCTTGCTCTCCAGATTCTTCTACCTTCCTGTCTTTTCCTTCTGCCCCGTGACAGTGCGCAAACCCAGTGATTTTGCCTTTGTTCTTTATTTTGACCTTTCTGTGCAGTATGGCAGCAGCTTGCCTGGTCTTACCTTATCCTTTTGCTCTTACTTCTGTAAAGATACTTCCCCAACCTACATGAAATGCTTCATCTGCTTGCTCCTGTGTTACTCTTAAATACATCCCGAGTGCCTCAACTTAAGCTCCTGTCATCTTAAACATCAGGAATTTGTGACATTAGTATTGATATCCTATAGTCATGTCATTAGGGCATTGTTTATAAAACCTGTAGTAGTAACCCTAATGGCTAAGGATAGCAGCTTCCTGTGGGCTATTTCCTTTGTTTCTAATGTCTTTTTCTTTATTCTTTCCAACTTCTTTTTCTTTGTGAGATCAAGTTCAAAAAAGTACACTTTGCAAAGATTCCTAGGATGACACCAGACCTTACTGACTCCCTAGCCTTTGAACTCCTGCCATTCTCATTGATCTGTTTATCTGGTGCTTCTCATACACTTATATTGCATTGTTGAATAAATCATCTTTATGTCTTACTACACATATAGCCTGTAATCTTATTCCTCTTGGTATTCCCAGGGCCTATTATGTAATTGGCTCTCAATAATGTTTGCTGTGGATGATGACATATCATCTTCTTATCTTGTTTCTAGTAGTGAGATGGCATAAAAACAATTAATTTTTTGAATCACCAAACAAACATTTTTATTTTCTGTAAGTGGAATGGAGGGTGTTTGGACTGAACTGAATGATAGATTTTCAACAGCTTTGCATTGTTTGAAGTCCATAATAAATGGCATGGGATGATTGTTGGAAAAGTAACTTTTCTCTACTTTCATAGTCTTTGGAGTGGCATCTAAAACCCTGAAATAAAACGATCATAGAAAGACCTACTAGGACTTTGTGAAATCACATGCAGGGTTTTGCATTGGAATGTTAAAGGTTGGGTAGAGATGGAGGAAGCAGAGAGAGGGGAGAGGAGACTAGGAATGAACATGGACAGAGGAAATACACATAACCCCCACCTTGGGGTACATAATGTCAGGATGATATAAACCAGCCTGTGGGAGGGGAATTCTATCAAAGAGGCAGATAGAATATGAGGATGAGAATTCATGTCAAGAGTTCTTCACTTACTACAGAAAGTTTACCCAATCGTTTTTTATGATGAATTATGTTTATACTGAATTCTTCTGTAATACAGGAATGTGACAGACTTGTTGAGTAAAGTAGGTCTTTTTAGCCTATGATTCCTCTTGAAATGAAGGCTTGGAGGGATTATCTGTGCTTGAAATGTAGCTTCGTATACACTGAAAATCTGCACCAGTGGGGTGTATTTCCAGACCCAGATAAGAGGTCTGGAAATTAATCAAACAGAAAAGACAAAAACAAAACAACAACAAAAATCAACCAAAAAATTCAGTTCACTTACTTATTTTACCTTCTTCTTCTTCTTCTTTTTTTTTTTTTTTCCTGTAGGAAGTTTGAAGTTCTGCCTTATGATTCTTAATCAGCCTCTGGACAAGTGTTTTCGTCCTCTTTGGGAAAAAGGTATTCTTAATTAGCATTTATATTTCTTTGTGTTCTTACTCCATTTAGGAGTGAATAACATGACTATTAAGTACCCTGGAACCTAAGTGAAACACCAAAAAGTGGAATTTAAAATAAGGTGGTTCAGTTATTTAATTGATAAGAATTCACTATTGCTTCTTCATTAGCCTCGAGGTGAATGCTAGAGCACACCTTCAAGCAGAGAATACTGTATTTTAGAACTAATATGTGTGTATTCATCCTGAATAATCAATAAGTATTTGTTCACATGTAAATAGCTTTGGGACCAGTGAGAGTAGATAGGTATCTGCATGCCTTACTTGTCTTAGCATCCCGTGATAAGGTAAGGGCAGCTGATCAGATTTGCAAGATTAAAAAAGAAGACCTGCAATCTATTAGACTCTCTATGGATGCTGAGAAATATAGTTACAAATGGTATAGTTTCACAGAATTAATACTTCTGGGACATTTCATGTGAAAAATCAGTCCTTGTTAACTATTTATTTGCAATATCCTTTGACGTTTATGGGATTAACTCTATGCTAGAAAATAATATTAAATATCACTTGGTATTTAGAACTTTTGTTCTTATTTCATGAATTCTTAAGGTTATTTTTACCCCCAAAGGAATTCTTCTGCTGCATTGTCAGTGTAAGTTTTAGACCAAAGTAGATAGGTGGAATAATTTGAGTCTTAATCCACTTACGCATATCCCTGTGGTTGTTCTTGATCATCTCTTGCCACTACAGAACTCTTCAGTATTCTCAAATTAAGGTTATGTGTCTTATAGGGTAAACCCAATATGCTAATACGCTCATGTCTATAGTCAGAGATAGTGTGAGGGAATAAATGACCACACATGATACTGAATAAGAACTTGTCTGATAAAATTAAAAGGGAAACTCTTAGTATTCTATACACAGCTCCCTTTAAGTTCGTCGGCTTATAATTTCATGTTATAATTGTACTAACATTGCCCTCAGGGTTTGGAAATAATTTAACAGTATTTATTAGTATGACATATAGCCTAAAGGTCCTTTTTGGCTTTTATCTCTAGTACCCGTGCAGTGATGGCCACATACTTGCTCAGTAATTATAATAAATGAAAGATTGAATTTAATATGATTCAAATTGCCAGTAAATATCAAATAAACTGATTAGCTACATCCTTTTTGAATATAAATTTATTGTATCAGATTTTATTTTAGTATTAGGAGAGTGATTTTTATTGCAAATATTAGAGACAAAATAATTATTGCTACAAACTGTTGGAAATGTTGGATGTTGAAAAATCATATCTAAAGAAGTATGTCTTTGGGGATATAAGATCCTATTTTGTAGGTATTGTGAAATGATGTTGATTTTTGAGCTGACTGAGTTCCTCATTTGTTTTTTCTGTAGTGAATTGTATTTGAAAAAGTCTCATGCCTGACATATGCCAACTGATTATTTGATTTGCGCACACATACACACAAAAAATGAAAGCTTATACATGGAGAGAACACAAAGTATCTCAAGTGTCAGGTGTACTGAAATGGTTAGTTAATTCTCATGTCTAAAATAAACTTTCTTCAGGTTATTGAAATATGAAGTTCTTTTTTACATCTAAGATAATTCTGGGCTTTCTGGAGTCTTTAGCTGTTGTATGAGGCAGGTATACTGACACCCTTCAAAGGCAGGTGGACTGAGGGTCTTTTGAATCTCATAACAGAAGCTAAGGTTTTGTGATTGTAGGGTTCCCTTTTGTGTTGCTTTTTTTCCAAGTAAACGCAATGGAGTAGGGAAACCTTGAGCTTGTGTTGTTGATTTTCCCATCAGAGAGAAGTCCCAGCACTGGGAGTTCTAGAGAGCATGCCTTGTGCCACAGGAGAGTTAGTGGCAAGGGTTAATGGCTGTGGGCTGCTGTCCCTGTTGCCCCTTTGCCCATGTGCCCAACTTGTTTTGTAACTTCTGTGAATGTGAAGGCTTGTGAATAACAAAAACCTACGGATTGAAGCTGGGCTGTTAAACTAAAAGAGAAAAATCCAAGCTGTTGCATTCCAAGTCTTACAAAATTGAAAAATTAAACCTATGCCTAAGACTTCTGTTAAGTAAGCATTTCTTGAGATTCATTTCAGTCAAAAGCCTGGTTTGAAGGTTTATTTTTCAGTTTACTCTTGCAACGTTTAGTTGGTAATAGTTGAGGCTTTTAGTTTAAATGCCTAAGGAAGGTGTTCAAGGGTGATTAAAATTTTAGAGGTTTTTAATGTATTTTCCCTTGTATACATCATGAAATTTTGATGATTTTTTTCTTCGTTAGACATCTTGGAATATATCCCTACCTATGCCAGCATTTTGTAGATTCCATTTCATCTGGAGGAATGAAATGGAAATAAAGTACTTGAGAAATAGAGAAATGGATGGAAAGAAGTATAGTTAGTATGTAACTTTTCTGTAAATATCAGGTTTTTGAAATCTGGGAATGGGTGTTACTTTTATTTTTATTTTGGGCAATTATTATTTTTTTTTTTTTTTTGAGTCAGCCCTGCTATTTCAGTAAATGATTTTCTCAGCTAGGAAGGTATGAGAAATGAAAATCATAGAGATGCTATATTTGAAAGGCTCTGCTTTCTTGTTGTAGGTCATTCATTTTCAATTTGAGTCACTATGCTACCAGGGGCCTCCAATTCAGTGGTCAGGGTCTCTGAGTACATAAATTTAAAATACAAAAAACAAATAGACATAACAGATGTACATTTACCTGGAATAGGTTTATATAAATCAGTCATGTGCTGGGTTTTTGGGAGCTTGGTTTCTAAAAGCATGTTCTCATTTTCAACTTGAGTTTGCCACAAAGCATTGGTGATCACATTAATTAGATCATGGATGGAAGATCAGATTGTGTTAACATCAGGTACTTGTCTGTAGTGTGACACCTTTCCTCTTTCTAATGTAGAATTATTTTTCTTGCCTTCTTTCTCAGATCTTGGGTAGCTGTCTAAGCTTAAGATTACACCAGCATATGGGCAACATTCCTTGATTCATTTCTAATAAAACTGAAGTCATAAAATATCTGAGACATCAGCCACACCTTATAGGTTAAAAGGAAGTGCAGGTGATATTCATGGATTGAAATATGAGCAAGCTCTTTGGTTTACAGCATCGTTTGGGGAGGAGAAAAGATGAGAGGGTATAACATGGGCTTTGGCCGTGGGAAAGATGTTTGGTGGAGAGTCTGGTCTGCATTCTGTGTGTGGTTATGTGTGCTACTGAGGCTTGGAACAAACTGAATGAGTTGGCCTGGGGAAAATCATAGGGCGAAACACTTGTTAAAGCTGGCAGGAGAGGAACTGTCAGGGAAGGAAACACTCTATTTTTGAACATGTTCAATAGAATTGAACAGTGTGAGCTCTTTGGTAGGTCTAATGACAGACTCTATGGAGGTCTTCACACAGTCCTTCCTTGCTACCTAGCTATTTTTCCTGATGTAGCTCTTATAGATTTGCTGGTTGTGACTCCTGGACAGGTAGATTATCACATGCATTTTTGTCATTTAAATGCATTCAGGCAGAGACCCAGCAGATCACTTTAGCTGGGAAAATGGTAGGCTTTAGCATATCTGAATTTCCATTAGGCTGATCTGGGAACCATCTGTTCCACTAATGATTAGCTTAGTTGTTAGACTTAAGAATCCTGTAGTACAGTAGTTAGGCTTGTCACAGTTTTACTGAGCCTCCAAATTGACAGCATTGTGTCCCTTTTTGTGTTTAGTGTTTCACAGAACTTATGCTTTGAGCACATTTAAATGAACATTGAGCCAAAGATCTGATGAGCAATTTGCATACTTGGTTCAGGTCCATCAAGCAAAACAGTTATGGACAAGCTGTAGTGTCTGTAAATAAGGCTGGCAGAAAAGACCTGACCCAGTTGTGCAGAAATATTTGGGGGGATATTTGGTTTTTTGGTTGTATAAGACATTTTATATATTCTGTGATATGAAGTCAGAGACATATTCTATTTAATTCCAGATATGATGGCCCATTTCTATTGAATTAGATCTTTAATCATTCTGCATGTTTTAATACAAGTAAGATCTTAAGAAGTCCTGTGTTACTTTGTTTCCAAGGATTCACTTAAATGAGGTGGAATAACATAATCTTTATGTTTAATGTCACTTCTGATGATTTCTTTTATTTCAGTTAAGCAGTATCCCTTTTTAAAGGTTACTTCATTGATAAGTGTTTTGCATTAACTACCATCATGTTTTCAACAAATTAGCACCTTAGTCAGATTATCTCTTAATATTTATCCAGCATTCATTGCTTAATAACTACTGTGCACCTATTAAAATAGTGGCCAACACATATACAGTGTTTGCCACCTGCCAGATAATGTTTTAATGCCATCCTTTGTCAATCCCATGCAATAAAAATGTGTCTTATTTCCATTCTGGAGTGAGGTAGACTGAGATAGTGAAGTTCAAATGCACTATTCAAATTCACACACCTAGTAAATGGACAAATGAGGAATTTAAACTCAAGCAGATGATTCAAACAATCTAAGTACTTATGCAGTATGTTCCAGGTACGTTCAGTGACATCAGTACCTGTGGTAAGGCTTATGGGTTAATTCCCTTGGTGTATTGACAAGGGGTCAGCAAACTTCCCCTGCAAGAGGCCAGGTAGTGGATGTTTTTGGTTGTGTAGGCTATGTGTTCTTTGTCACAGCCCTTCAACTCTGCTGTTGGTAAAAGCAGCCCTAGGGAACCATGTGAAAGAATTGGTGTGGCTCTGCTCTACAAACGAGGGATTTGCAAAAATAGGCACACAACTGGATTTGGACAATAGTATGTAGTTTGATACTCTTTTTCATTATAGTTTTTTAGGCTCCCAGCTAGTACTTCTAACCTTGGCATTGGAACTCTTGGAAAACTGCTCCATCTCCAGTGTTCCAAGATCATACATTTCTCTGGCTGGTGAATTCCTTATCATCAACCTCCTGTTCTTTCCCGCTCACCGATT